TGGGGCAGTAGCTCTGGTGGTGTAGTGCCTAAGGCATTTCACTGCTAAGCCGAAGCCTGGTGGTTCAAACCCACGAGTCACTCCTGGGAAGGAAGATTGGGCGATCTACTTCTGTAGAGATACGCCTCAGAAACCCAAGGAGAGGTCACAGTGAATTGGATCCGCCTCCACGGCAGTGAGTTTGATTTGGTGTTTTGGTGGTTCAGTGGTAGAATTCTCCCCTTCCAGGCAGGAAAGAGGGGATTGATTCCCAGTCACTGCACCTCATGCAAGCCCCCACCACTCTGCCATGTCTGTCAGTGGAGGCTTGCATGTTGCTATGGTGCTGAAAGGGAGCTCCGGTTGCGTAGTGCCTAAGGCACTTGACTGCTAACCAGAAGGCTGGCAGTTCAAACCCACCAGCCACTCCTTGGAAGGAAGGTGGGGCAATCCACTTCCGTATTGATACTGCTTCGGAAACCCAAGGAGGGGTCGCTATGAGTTGGGTCCGACTGGACGCACATAACAACAACAACAACAACAACAACAACATGGTGCTGAAAAGGTTTCAGCAGGGCTTCCAGAGTAAGACAGACTAGGACGAAGGGCCTGATGATCTACTAATGAAAATCAGCCAAAGAAAACTCAGTGGACCCCAACCAGTTGGAACTGCCCAGCAACATTTCATTCCATTGTACATGGGATCGCCATGAACTGGGGTAAAAACCAAGGAACTTTTTAGGCATTTTTTTCCCTAATCATCACCCTTGTTATGAAATTATAACACTGCAGATACATTCTATATCTGTTTATATACTGTATGTGTATCTGCACATTATATGTAAAGAATATAAGGTTTAATTGCCCCTCAAAAAACAAATTTTTATCCCCTTGGGAGTGATATTGCCCCATTGAAAATATGTAACTTAGTATAATGCTTTCAAGACTCAACAATATTATGTATATTAATACTTGGTTCATTAATATAGACATTACTAGTAATGGAAAAATATTGTATGAGTCCTTTATTGTAAAAAGTCAAGGAAAGGTTTGCTCAGGGAAGGAAATTCACTTTGTTGGTTACAGGGGATGAAGGGGAAGGGGAGGGAAAATTTCTGAATAGTTGGGGTTCACAAGTTGATTTGGGTGAGGGGAGGGGTGATATGCAAAAAAGAAAAGGAAAGAACTAGTTGGTTCATTTTTATTGTTTGGTAATATTCCATTATATGAATATCCACAATTTGTTTATCCATTTAACAATTGATGGACTTTTGGATTGTTTTCTGTTTGCAGCAATTATAAGTAAATCTGCTATGCATATACAATACAAGTTCATGTGCAGAGATATGGTTTTATTTCTCTTGGGCAAATACTTATGAATGGGATAGATAGCTGAAATGACAAATGTGTATTTAACTTTCTAAGCAACTGCCAAACTCTTTTCCCAAGTGGCTATAGTATTTCACATTCCAAATATGTGAGAGCACCAGTTGGTCCCTGTCATTTGCAACAATTTGTATTGTCAGTTCTTTCAAGTGTAGCATTCTAATGGGTTTGTAATGGGAGCACATGATTATGCGTTTTTAAGTATGCATTTCCCTAATAACCAATGATACTGAGCACATTTTCTTGAGCATAGTTTCTATTCATATATCTTTGACAAAGCAGCTATTCAAATCTCTTATCCACTTTTAAAAACTTGAGTTATTTTTCTTATATTACTTATTTGTAAGAGTTCTTTTAAAATTTTGGATAAATGTCTCTTGCCATATATATACTTGCAATGTTATTCTTGGAGTATGGATTTATTTTTTCATTTTATTAACACTGTCTTTGGAGAACAGAAGTTTTAAATTTTGACAAAGTCTATTTTTTTAAATTTTTATTTTTAAAAATAAAAATTGCTGTTTTCAGTGTTTTCCAGGAAATTTTGGCTGAACCTAAAGTCACCAAGATTTTCTCCTAGTTTCATCTAAAGGATTTATTGTTATAATTCTTACTATGAAGTTTGTGAAACATTTTTGTTAACTTTTGCATATGTGTGATGTAAAGTTGAATGCCATTTTTTTGCACATGAATATATAATTGTTCCAGAATCTTTCTTCATTGAATTTTTTTTGTCACATTCATTGAAAATCAATTGATGTACTGGTCCATTTTGACTCTCTTTAATTCTATCCCACTGTCTTCTGTGTATTTCCTGGTGCTAAAGCCACACAGTATTGAATACTGTAGAATTATAGTAAGTATTGAAATCATCCAAAATAAGTCCTCTAACTGTTATAATTTTTAAAATTTCTTTTGGCTATTCAAAATCTTTTGTATTCTCATATGAATTTTAGAATTAGAATAAATTTGTAATTTTCTACAAAGAAGAATGATAAGATTTTGTTATTGCATTAAATCTATAGTTCAATTTGGGAAGAACTGATATTTTAACAATATTGAGCCATCAAAGATGTTCATTGTTTCCTTTAATTCTAGTTTTTAAGGGGCTCCAGACCCAACTACATTTAGGCCCTGGGATATAGGGAAGTTTAACCTGAGAGAGTACAGTCCAACAGAGCACAAATGACATGGTGATAATTAACCTGGGTATAGGGGTGGCTGTAGGATATCTGAACAAATTCAGGGATTTAAGTAATCTTTGGACTAAGAGGTTCAAATATTCAGATAAAGCATAACCAAACTCACTGCCATTGAATCGATTCTGACTCGTAGTGTCAGATCTCGTAGGAGATCTGGCAGTGTAGTGCCTAAGGCACTTGACTGCTAATCAAAAGCCTGGCAGTTCAAACCCACCAACCACTCCTTGGAAGGAAGATGGAGCAATCTACTTCTGTAGTGATACTGCCTCAGAAACCCAAGGAGGGGTCTCTATGAGTCGGGTCTGACTCCATGGCACACAACAACAACAACAACATAGGATATCTGAACAAATTCAGGGGTTTAAGTAATCTTTGGACTGAAAGATTTAAGTATTCATATAGGGAATAACCAAGCTCACTGCCATTGAATTGATTCTGACTCGTAGTGACCCCCACTGGGTTTCTGAGGTGGTAAATCTTTATGGAAGTAGATTGCCCACTCTTCTTCCTGTGAAGTAGCTAGTGGGTTTGAACCCCAAAACTTCTGGTTAGTAGTCAAATGCCTTAGGCATGATAGGGCATGGCAGGGGGTAATTCTAAGTCTAGGAGTAAGCACTTCTATTAATAGGAGTGTTTTCAGGGTCAGATTGTAAGAGGAAAAGTACGTAGGGTCCATCTCCTAGAAAGAGAGCTGGAAGTCACCAAGTGTATACTGGAGAACTTACTATTGATTAGTCCTTCTGGCCATCCTATAGTGATAGGATGAAACAGAATCAAGCTCCACCATCATGGAGTTGAGGTCTAACAGAAAAGGGTGATATTCAAGAAATGAAGAAAAATAGTTGGAAAGATACTACAATGGTTAGGTACTGAATGCGGAATGGAACTTCTGTTTTCCTCATGAAAGCTAATCCTCCAGTCTCCCCAGTTTCAACAAATAGACCTTTAATTTCATAGCTGTGCAAGTTAGAAATGTGAAGAGTGATCAAGGTACTTCCCTTTCCTGCCTTCTCATTCGACTGGCAGTTTCATCTGTGGATTATTTCTTGAATCTGGCCTAAAAGGCTCCAGTTTTGCCATAGCAACTCAGATCATGCTATACCTCTGAAGGCACATTAAGGATGTAGATCCTTATCCGGGGGAGAGAAAAAGGAATCTATTGAAGGGATTTAAGTAAAAAAGTGACATGACCTGATTAGTGTAGTTAATTAATTAGTAAGGCTAGAATGTAGAGAATGAGCTCTGGTAGCATAGTGCCTAAGCACTTGACTGCTAATCGGAAGGCTGGCTGTTCAAACCCACCAGCCACTCCTCAGAAGGAAAGTTGGGCAATCTACTTCTGTAGTGATACTGCCTTGGCAACCCAAGGAAGGGTCACTATGAGTTGGGGCTGACTCGATGGCACATAACAACAACAAAAACAAGACTATTAGGGAAGAGGATCTTTCACAAGTTCAGAGGAGAAATTAGTATTTGATATTTGGTTGATGTTCTCTCATGAATTTTTAAGGAATTTCAAGGTGCAAGATGAGTGAACTGGGAGACATGCTGCATTTTCAGTGGGACCATAAGAAGAACTTAGCTAAAGGCACACTTTTAAATGGCAATATAAGTATACTTGGAAATTCAGATATATTATTTTATATATTATATAATTAATATTATATATTCAGGCTATTAAGGCTCTGGTGGTAGAGTGGGTAAAATATTTGGCTGCTAACAAGAAGGTCAACAGTTCAAACACATCAGTTGCTCCATGGGCAGAAGATGAGATGATCTATTTCCAAAAAGATTTAACACCTTGGAAACCCAGTGGGGGTCACTATGAGTCAGAATCAATTCAATGGCAGTGGATTTGGTTTTGTTTGGGGTTATCCTTCTATTGGTTGCTGCTGCCTTGACTTAACTGATTTTTCTGCCAAATTAATTAGCATCCTCAATGAATTATGTATGAATGTTCTTGGGTCATATGCTGATGAGTTGGAAAGAATTAGAAAACTATAATCATACCTAAAAGAAAAAAAAAATATTTTTTTGTACTTAATGCATCCACTCATCTTTACATCCATCCTGCAAACTTTTTCCATTACTGCTACAGAATTAGTATTTGAGCTTCAGCTTCAGATGGTCTGCAATTCTCCTGAAATTTTATGGAATATGTTTTGTCTGTGTGCATATATGTATGATGCTGGGGACATTTCCAAGAGTCTTTAACCTAGTAAAGATTAATAATAAGAAGTATTGTGTTTTAGGTCTCAGGTATGCAAACAGGCATATAACAGTCTTTATCCTTAAGGCACATACAGTATGCATTATGTAAACAAATAACTTACAAAACCACATTGCCAATGCTCTGAAGGGGATGGGAACAAATCTCTGTGGAACTTTGTCGGTTACCCTAGTGCTTGGTCTCTTCCAGGTGACTCCTGAAGCATGGCTTACTACAATGTTACCATGGACAACAGTGTTCTCAGGAATGGCTCCTGCAGTCCAATAGCAACACCCTGTCTAACCTGGCTCTACTGCATAGTGTTCATCGGAGGACTAGTGGGTGTCATCTCCATTTTGTTTCTGCTGGTGAAAATGAACACCAGGTCTGTGACCACCACAGCAGTTGTTAACCTGGTGGTGGTACACAGTGTTTTTCTTCTGACAGTGCCTTTTCGCTTGATCTACCTCATCAAGCAGACTTGGATATTTGGGTTGCCTTTCTGCAAATTTGTGAGTTCCATGTTACACATCCACATGTACCTCACATTTCTCTTCTATGTGGTCATCCTGGTCATCAGGTACCTCATCTTCTTTAAGCACAAGGACAAAGTAGAATTCTACAGAAAACTGCATGCTGTGGCTGCCAGTGCCGGCTTGTGGCTGCTGGTAATTGTCATTATTGTGCCCTTGGTTGTTTCTCAGTATGGGAGTAAGGAGAAATATAATGAGCAAGACTGTTTTACCTTCCACAGAGAACTTGCTCGTAAGTATGCTCAAGTTATCAACTATATCATAATTGTTATTGTCACAGCCACTGCAGTGATTCTCTTGGTCTTCCAGGTCTTCATCATTATTTCAATGGTACGGAAGATACGTCATTCTTTGCTATCCCATCAGGAGTTCTGGGCTCAATTGAAAAACCTCTTTTTTATAGGAGTCATCTTTTTTTGCTTCCTTCCCTATCAGTTCTTCAGGATCTATTACTTGCAAGTTGTGGCCCACTCACATGACTGTGACAGTAATGCTGCTGCATATTATAATGAAATATTCTTGAGCATAACAGCAATTAGCTGCTTTGATTTACTGCTCTTTGTTTTTGGGGGAAGCCACTGGTTTAAGCAAAAAATGATTGACCTATGGAATTGCCTTTTGTGTCACTAGCCACAGCCAGTGTCCATAATTACTTCCTTTATAGAGGAAGTGGAAATGGACCACAGAGGAGGCAGGAATGGTTAGGAACATATCAAAACAATGCCTTTGTGCAGCCAAACAGATGGAAAATGTCAAGAGCATTCATTCCAGTCCTGACTTGATCCCGGTGAATCTCAGAATGATGTCCATATAAAGACCAGTGATGTTTAATCCACTCAGGGTTGCAATATTGCATTATTTCCCACTACAAAATATCTCCTAGGTCCATCTAGTAACTATAGGATTTCTAGAGTTTTATTAACTCATTCTTGTTTACTTAGTTGTGTCTTTTCTTAGGGTTTTGGACTGACTCCTCCATCTTTTCACTTTACTTCACTTTAGATAGGCTCTTCTGGCCATGATCCAGCCCCAAATATACAAACTTTACTTGGCTAACTGCATAAGAAAGCCCACTCAACTCATTCCCCTGACAAAAAAGACAGAGAAGGGAGGAGAATAAGAAGAAACTGTTCTCAATTATTACAAATGTGATAGAATATCACTTATCTAGAAATCAAGGGAAACAAGACTAGTGGCCTTTTGTCATAAAAAAGTTTACTAGGTTTGTTTTTTGAAAGGTCACGTTTATGGACATGAGGCTCAATTCTCTCAGTATCACCAATTATGTTACTTCTCAAACAAATCATGTTAAAGTTAATTGAAACTGTAAGTTATGGTGAAACGATAACTTAAAGACTATTCCAGATTAATGTGCTGCTAGGCATTAAAATGAGTTCCCAAGAGAAGTGATTAAAATTTTTCCCTTTTCTGTTGTCTGAGAAAATTTTTAGATATCCTAGGTAACAGTTAATGTAGATTTTCCTTGATGAAAGAGAGTCATATAAAAATCTATACAATTACTATCTACCCTTAAATGATGTGACTTTAAATTAATAAAAACAACATTAAATAATACTTTGAAAACTACATAGAAAAACCATTAATTTTGACTATTAGATTAGGCTGTATGAAAAAGATTCTCTATGAATATTTGAGGAAAGGATGAAGACATGCACTTGAAAGTAATAAAATTATAATACTTTAAAATATGAAATAATTAGGATTTTCTCACCAAGTTCTGAGTAGCTTTTTCCAGTATATATATATATATATATATATATATATATATATATATAATTTTTTTTTTTTTTCATATCTTGTGGCATTTAAGAGGTTAATGTGATATTGATATACAGGCTCACCCCCTACCTCACATGTTCTACTCTTGCCCTCAAAGTTTCATACATTTGTAACTTTCCAAAGAACTGAACCAATTACATATTTAATGCTTCAGAAAACCTGAAACAATTAATGGTGTGAATTAAAGAACTGAATGAATGAAAGGAACTTTTTTTTTCCTTCAGCTAGGTAAATCTTCAATATTTAAAGATTTTTCTTAATTTATCACTTGATGAGTCTGCTGGTTAATCAGCTGAATAGAAATTGTAAGTTTTAATGATCACTAAAATATCTGAGTTTTAGAAATCAAATTTGAGGAAGAAAAAACAGCAATACATAACTTATTCCCCAATTTTTATTGCTTCACATTTTCTTTTTTTCTGTCTTTGATTCTTTTTTGAAGTTGTTTCTCTTATTTCTCATTTGTCATCTTTTCACATTCATTTTCTTAGCAATTCTTTCTCTTTGACCCATAATATTTGTAAGAAAAATGAAGAACCATAGTAAGATATTTTTAAAAAATTAAAATTATTTGTGAGAATTTCATCAAGGCACTTGACTGCTAACCAGAAGGCTTGCAGTTCAAACCCACCAGCCACTCCTTGGAAAGAAGGTTGGGCAATCTACTTCCATAGTGATACCACCTCAGAAACCCAAGGAGGCATCACTATGAATCGGGTCTGACTCGATGGCACCTAACAACAACAACAACATATCTTACTATCATAATATCTTTTAGCTTATAGATTATATCATAATCTCTTCCAGATTTTAGATATATCTTGTCAGGCAACTATGCTTGTCTCTGTATAATTATATATATGTAATAAAGTGGTCATTTCTTGTGAGCCAGTAAGAAATATTACCCAAAATATAGAAATTCAGTATTCCATAATATAAAACATCCTATTCATCAGTATTTACCAAATAAAGAGATACATTTCAGTTTGCTATTTCTTTGTCTCCAATTGCTAAGTTAATGAATCTCAAGAGGGAGTGGGAATGACATGGTGTTTAGGGCCTGTTTTGGTTACCTCTGTGCTGTGCTAACAGAAAAATACCACAAATGGGATGGCTTTAACAAACAGGAGTTTATTCTCTTACAGTTTTGGAGTTCACAAGTCTGAATTTCAGGTGCCAGGCTCTAGGTGCTGAGTGAAAGCCCCTTGACCTTAGGCTTCAGCTCTGCCTCCTGCTCCCAGCCCATTGAAGCTAGAGGCATCTCTTCACTCAGGCAGCTGCTAACTGCTGAGGCTCACAAACCCAAGGTCAACAAGTGAAAAGGCAGTCCCAATAATACCAAACCACATGGCAGGCCATTAATTCAAGTCCATTAAAAGTCTCAAGATCAGCAAAGCAACATGGCAGGCTGCTACTGAACAACAACTCAGCTACATGCAGGGTTCAAGCATACCATCCACTGGAGACCTTCTTCAACACTTCTTATAGACTGGAAGCAGTCCACATCCCTAAAGCACCTACTCAGCTGCTCTAGTAGATTCCACCATGGAGTTAATTACCAATCTCACCATGGGGAATAACTACATCCAGCTGCCCACCCACTCCACTAGGCCCAGCAAAGTTAACATGCAACCTTAACTATCACAGGGCCTTTTTAGATACCAAAATGATAAAAAAAAAAAATACTAGTGGAATTTGGTGGCTGAAGCCAGAGTCTTCCAGACTAAGGCAGAGTAGGAAAAATGTCCTGGTGATCCACTTCTGAATATTAGCCAATGAAAACCTATCAATCACAACAGAATGTTGTCTGATATAGTCTAGAAGATGAGGCTGCTAGGTTTGAAGATACTCAAAATACACAATAGCTACAACAATGGACTTGAACATACCAATAATCATGAAGATGACACAGAGTCAGGCAATGTTTGGTTCTGTTTTCCTTGGGGTTGCCATGAGTCAGAGCTGACATGGCAACTGACAACAGAAGAACTCTCTGAGCAGGCAAAATATTGTGCATGTCCCTTTCTAGACAAAGGGACTTCAGGTGGATGCGCCTGTCATCTCAGGGTTTGCCACCCCAGAGCCATCACTTCTATAAACTCCAAAGCATTCCTGAGTAGGAGAGCCGCTCTACTTACTTACCTTGAAACCACACTAGTTTTATTCTGTTGTTGTTGAGAATACACATAGAAGAACATACATAAATTCTCCTTCAATGTCATTCAGAGTATTTTAGGTTATTTGGTCCCACTTTTTTTTTTTTTTTTCCTGCTCACATGTTCCTCGATGATAAGACATCAGCCAGGTCTTCATTTTCCCTATTAAGTGTTAATAGCTTATTCTTAGAAATGTTTTATTACCAGAGGTTGTTAGAGGCTTCAACTTAAACACCAAGGTTGTTATAGTTGTTGTTAGGTGCCATTGAGTCAGTTCCAACTCATAAAGACCCTATGTACAACAGAAGGAAATACTGCCTCATCTTGCACCATTCCCACAACCTTGCTATGCTTGAGCCCATTGTTATAGCCACTGTGTCAAAACATCTCCTTTTGCTGACCCTCTATTTTACCAAGCATGACATCCTTCTCCAGGGACTGGTCCCTTCTGACAACATGACCAAAGTAGGTGAGATGAAGTGTGGTCATTCTTGCTTCTCAGGAGCATTCTGGCTACAGTCCTTCCCAGAGAGATTTGTTCGTTCCTCTGGCAGTCATGATATTTTCAGTATTCTTAGCCAAGACCACAATTCAAAGGCACCACAGTACAACATATTGACAGGCAAATACTGGAAATATCGAAGTAGGAAACTTGATTGTCAGTTCCAAGGTTCAGCAGCCTGAGAGGTATATAGAGGGTGCAGAGATCATAGCTATCTCAACCACAGAATAAGTTGATTTTGACTCCTGGTGCTCCATGTGTGTCAGAGTAGAATAGTGCTTCACAGGATTTTCAATGACTGTGATCTTTTAGGAGTAGGTTACCAAGGCTTTCTTCTGAGGCACCTGGACTTGCACCTCCAATCTTTCAGTTAGCAACCTAGCACGTTAACCATTTGCACAGCCCAAGGACTCCATGGTTTTAACATCATTGTATAAAGTGACCAACCCTGTATACTCATAATGCCTTTGGGGGTGAATATGCTGTCTGCCTTTGTGTATAGGGAGCTCTGGTGGCATAGTGTCTAAAGCATGTGACTGCTAATTAAAGCCTGGCAGTTCAAACCCACCAGCCACTCCTTGGAAGGAATATTGGACAATCTACTTCCGTAGTGATACCACCTTGGAAACCCAAGGAGGAGTCACTATGAGTAGGATCTGACTCAAAGGCAATGAGATTGGTTTAATTTTGGTTTCTTTGTGTACAAACCACCCCCACCAATGCCAATGAAACTTTGAGTAGTGGTCTGCCAATGAGAGGCACTTGCCTGTAATTATGTCCTTACTTATTCAGGGAGATGAGGAAAGCAAAAACAATGTAGTGGATTTTTCATAAAGCAAAATATATTATTCAATGTTATATTTGAAATATATTTTCACAAATCACTTTAGGTGTGTTATATCATGAAATAATAGCTATATAACAAAAACTAATAATAAGATTATTATCTCTTAATGATTTAAGAGATCTTCAGGGTTGTAATTGTGCTAAGAACAACAGAGTGATAATAATTTTCTTGAAAATTTTGCTTAACTTCCTGTCCCAGCCTTAGATCCTCTTTGATCAGTCTTGGTATATGATGGAGGAAAAAAGAGCTCTTTATTTGCTGTTGCTACCAGTAAAGTCACCCCAGATGACACATTGACCCTTGAACATTTGACAAAGTTTAAAAA